ATTGAAAAACCAAATATAAAAATACCTAGAAAAATACAACTAACAAAATATGTGAAGACATTTAGAGAAGAAAATCATAGTTTTAGTGAAAGAAAGAGGACCTAAATAAATGAAGAGAGATGGTATATTCATGGATTGGATGACCTTTAGTTATGATATTGAAAATCAAAAATCTCCCATTTGATTTACAAATACAGTATAGAAAAGCTCTACAGGTTTTTGGTGGAAATTAAACTATTTCTAAAATTTATAAATTTGATGAAAGCCAGCCAGTAATAGCCAACACACTCCTGAGGAACAAGGTAGAGAAACTTGCACTACCATATGTTAAGATGTAAACATATAATAATTAAGACATTGGTTATTAGCATAGACACAAATAGTACAACATGAGAGATCCCTGAAATAGTTCCACACATGTATGGAATGTGGTATAAATAACAGGTAGCATTGTAGATCATTTGGAGAGGATGTTCAATAAAATATGTTTGGTGAGTTGATGATCCATATAGGAAAGAAAAATTAAATTGAAATTGGATTCACATCATGCAGTGAAAAAAAATCAATTTCAGATAAAGACCTGAATACAAAAGGCAAAACCTTAGAGCTTTAGGGAAAAGTGAAAGAATATCTTTATGACTTCAGGGTGGGGAAAGACTTCCTCATAAAGATACAAAGTGCAAACCATATATAAGCGGAAGCATTTAAACTAACATCTGTTGACCAAAAGACACTGCAAAGAAAGTGAAAAGAAGCTCAGGCAGGAAGCAATATATAGAACCTACAGAGGATTTGTAACTTTCCAGAGCCTGTAAAGAAAACTTTAAAAATCATAAAGAAAAAGACATTCAAAGCGAAAAATCATCAAAACATGTTCTTTCCCAAAAGAAGGAAAAGTGAATGGCTAATTTTGGTATGAAAAGGTGGTCAACTTAAATAGTAAGCAGAACAATGCAAGTTTCATCCACGAGATCATATTTGCATGCTCTGTGATTTGCAAAAATAAATCTCATGACAATATGCGTGTTGGCATGACTCTAAAGCAGGGAGAACCAAGGTCTGCTTTGTTGGAGTAAAAATTTAGTTACAACTACTTTGTAATGCAACTATCATCTAGTGAAATTGAACATGTGCATTCATGCATTTCTTTAACTCAGCAATTCCCTTTCTAGCAGTATACTTCAGAGAAATTCTTACACCCGTGTACCAGGAGATGAATAAGGTATTCATACTAGCATTGTTTATAATAATAAAAAGCAAGAAACATTCTAGATATTTATAAATAGGACAATGATGAATAAATTGCATAATACATAATGTTGTCCATAATGTTGGGTAACACAGCAGGAGAATACATTTAACACTGAGAGAGAGAGAGAACACGAGTGGAGAAAAGGGCAGAGGGAGAAGCAGACTCCTCGCGGAGCAGCCAGATGGAGAACTCCATCCCGAAACTCTGGGATTGTGACCTGAGCTCAAGGCTTAATCTACTGAGCCACCCAGACGCCCTGTCTATATACGTTATAAAGCATACAGATTTAAAAAGTTACATAGAATCACATATATTTATGTGGAAAAAAATATAAAGGACATCAAGGAATGATAAAATCCAGGATACCAGTTACTCCAGAAAGTATGAGAGAAAATATGTGATTAAGGAGGTACATTGTATTAGTTAAGATACAGGTTTAGCTGCATTTGACAGAAACCCCACGTAAGTGACATAAGATACAAGTATACTTGTCTTATAACAGGTTGAAAGTAGCCTGGGCACGACAGTTATGTTCCACACCATTATCCAGGAGCCAGGCTCCTCTTTTCTGTTTGATCTTTCTGAGTATCCCCCTCATCCGCACGGTGATGGTGGCTCACCACCACAGCCATGTTGCAAGTGTGATGTGGCAGAGTGGAGGAGTAAGTGACCTTACAAAGGAGGTTGCACATATGCCTTCTCTTCATGGTCTTCTGGCTAGACCAAATCTATTGTATAGTAATTTTTAGATCCAAGGAGGCTTGAGAAATATGCCAACTTGAAAATCAGGAGTTCTAGAACAGAGAGAAAGAGAGTACAGGTATTGGGAGGAACATAGCAATTTCTGCCACAGGTTCATGGGACTAGGGTAGGAGGGGAAAACATAAAGGTATTGGAATTGTTGTTTCTTGAAATAGGATGGTGAGTATAGTTGTCTTTTTAAAATTTTATTTTATGCCTTCCCTATAAATTATATACTTTTGTATATATGAAGTGTTTTGCTATTAAAGCTAGAAAGTTTAGTGGATACTTTTTAGCTATATTTCACTTAAATCTTATGCAGCATATGGTAACTGTTGATCACACTTTCTAGACATTTGAATTTTTATTGGCAAGAATCTCCTGGTCTTTCTCTTATTTTTCCATCCATTCCTTTTCAGCCTCCTGGGCTTCACTTTCTCTGCAGGGAACAAAAAGGCCTTTTCCTAGATGCCCCTCACTTGTCTTCATAATTATTTAGGATAGTTTCAAATTGGCTAATGGGTTTCCTGGATTTGGAAAAATTGCAAGAGAAAACTAATTATATGGTAAATATTCAGATTTTATCACCTTTTATTTATAATGCTCTATCCATATATGGAAAAGGGAGGTTAGCACATTTTTTCTTTGTAACTTTAAATATTTTTTTACATCTTTCTGTAGTATATTATAAAAGGGCAAATAATTCTAGCATGAGTCCAAAGTACAAGTGTATCTTGTAAAAGGTAAGAAACAGCAACTTTTCACCTAAGTATATACATACGACATCAGTGGAATAAGTCTTGGAATTGACTCACGTTATTATAATCAGATATAAACATGTGATATCTTTTTATAAAAACTCAGCAGTTTACTTGAGCTCCAAGAATGACTGCATTTCTTAATCCTCCTTACAGCTAGGTATGATTATCTGACCTAGAGCTTGGCTAATGGAATATAAACAGACGTTACTACATGATAAATCTTAGCATATGTTAACAGGCATTATTTTCCCCCCAATGAAATAGTCTCGGGCATACATGCATTTGAGAATTTGTATTCACTTAAATTTTTATTAAAGCAAGAAGATAAAATTCAGTTCACATTCAAGTTTCAACCATATGTCAGGGACTGTGTCAGGTTCTGGGAACATAGGATTGAACAAATTCTAGCCTCAACCTTCAAGGGGTTAGTAGTAGTAGTCCAGGGAAAGCCTAGTTGAATGCTGTGGTAGAGACAGATATGCCTGAGGTGCTATGGCAGCAGAGCAAATGCTGAGGTTATCTAGGAAACTCAAACTCAAGAAAGATAACAGACCTAATGTAAGTTTATAAAATAAAAGCATTTAAAAATAGCGTGTAAAGATCTCTGTTGTTGTATTTTCAGTATCAGTTACATTAAAAAACAAAATGAGTCCAAATGTTATTATAGAAGTTAAGAGGGAGGGAAGGAATACAAGTGAGCTCAATTAATTTTTAAAAATATTTTATCTATTGTATAGGTCTTTTCTTCGTATACTAATTTTATAACCAGAAAAAATAATTTAAAATCCAGTTTTTAAACAGAACATGCATTTCTTAATGTAGCACATAACTTTTCTTTTAAATTTAGCAACATGGTTTTCTTAAGATTCTTGCACTCAAATCTTTATTTTCAGAAACACAAACTCATGTTAACATAGTGTGTGTTTTATACATATCTTTTTTAATGTATTAAGTTAAATTTTTACTTAGTGTAAACATGTACAGTGCTCATAGTACTTCACAGTTATTCCAATGTAGATATTGTCTGGCATTGGAATTTAAGGAAGAGATTCCAGTCTCATTCATCGATTGTAATATTGCAAGGAGGAAAACAGTATGCGCAGTTCTTAATGTTAACATAGCACCTGCTCACCATCACTTAGAGTTCTCACTAATGTGGGATGTAGCTATTCTCTTTTAACCCAGCATTTCTCAATCTCATTTCTCTTCATTTTGATTTTGTAAGGTGAGGGAGAGACCTATTTTCACAGACGTTGCTCTTCCTTTTGAAAAACTGAAAAGGGATTAGTGAAATCTCATCCCATTTATGACCTTTAATAACTTCTCTCATATACCCTTTGCCATTTTCAAGTGTTTTCTCTAAGGTGACTTACTGAACCAGGACTCTCTGGTGTCTTTCAGATACTGTGCTTTATAACCGTTTATCTTCTCTGATTCAGTTTTTAAGCAAAAATGAAGTCTTTTGTTTTTCCTTGTAGACTTTGCCTTCAAAAGAAACCACGTTTTTAAATACTACACAAATGCCTTGCTTGCAATCAGCTTCAACTTGGAGTAGCTGTGAACACAATTCAAAATCTCAGATATTAAGAGAACATGTATCAGAATTGGACTCTTCTTTCCATTCTGTCCTATCATTGCCATCAGGTAAGCCTACTTCTAAAAAATTTTTCTAAGCAACTCTGAATGTTTTCTGTGGTGAGTCTAATCCTGTAGATACAAGAAATCTAATAAAATTTTTAACAATTATTTTGCCACTGGATATTATGGATATTAGAACTGAACAGTTTTCAATGAGGAATTAATCCTGTGAGTTAATGTTCTATCTTTGCAAGTTGGTTCTTAAATTCCTTGGAAACCATTTTGAGTTACAATAGGAAATAACTGGCTTTTGATCTTTTCAGTGTTAAATTCTTAGAATTTTATTGATAAAGTGACTATGCTGTTGAAACGTTTTCACATTGTCAGTATTTTTTTCCCTAATACGTTGTTTTGCACAGACTTTTCTCTATGATATTGCCCATCATTAGCTTTTGAACCACAAGAAAATCTATAATCTATAACTGAGCAAATAAGGCACATACAGCCCCACATCCCTTTAAGTTTTTAGTTCTTGATTTATGTTGGAACCATTCCAGTTGTTCCCCTTTTTTTTTTAAAGTTTATTTTTTTAGTAATCTCTACATCCATCATGGGGCTCAAACTCACAATACCAAGATCAAGAGTTGCATGCTCGAAGTGCCGCGGGTTTCTTCCGCGTTAGCGCCCTCAGGTAGGGGGTCCGCGGAGGGGCGCCGACCGTGCCACCGGTCCCGCCTGGAACCTCGATAAGGGGAGCCCGGCCCCGATGGCCGCAGCAGGTGGACACTGAGGACTTCCTGGAGGAGGCGGCGCGCGGAGGGTCGGAGGCGCGGAGCAGGATGAAGAAATACATGAACGCCTCCCTATGGAACTCCCCCCAAAATGAGAGCAAACGAAGGCTCTTCATTCAGATCCTGCTATAGCAAGGGATTGAGCCACCATCACCTGTTTGGCCGAGACTCAAAGCCTGATGGCAGTGATCCTGCCCCACCTCGGAGACCAGGACTTGGAAGGTGTATTCCTGGCAGCTGGATGGAAGGAGTTGTTGTCCTTTGATGACGTGGCCATGTACTTCACCAGAGAAGAATGGAAGAGACTTGACTGGGCCCAGAAAGACCTCTACAGAGATGTGATGCTGGAGAACTACAGAAACATGATCTTGTTGGAGGTCAGAGATGTTTAATCCACCCCCCACCCCAATCTGCATCCTCCACATCTATAAGACCTGTAGCAGCTGAAAAGATTATGACTGATTTGGATTCCAAAGGATTTCAGTTTCCCAAACCTGAGGTGATCTGCCTGCTGGAGCAATGGGAAGAACCATGGATCCTGGATCTTCCAAGAGCTGGGACTAGGAAGGCTACCAGTACTTGTCCAGGTTCTGAAGCTAGATGCAAGATGAAAAAGCCAACTCCAAAGCAGAAAATTTCAGAAGATGTAGAGTCCTGTAAGACATCAGTAAAGCAGAAAATGGCCAAGAGACTTGGAGAAAAGTTACATAAATGTAATGAGTTGGTGGACATTTACAGACTCACATTCCCTACTATTGGTGATGAATGTCACAAGGACTTCCTTCAAAACCTCCACCTTATTCAAATTCAGAATGCTCAAACAAGGAAGAAGCAGGGCAAATGTGAGGAAAATGGAAAACCTTTCAATCACAGATCATTCCTTTTGCAGCATAAGCAAATTCTTACAAATGCAAAATCTTATGAGTGCAGTGAATGTGATAGAGTCTTCAGGCGTCAGGCTAATTTTGTTCGACATCAAAGAGTTCACACATCAGAGGATCCCTTTGAATGTGACATATGTGGGCAAGCCTTCAAACAGAAGTCTACTCTTATTGTCCATAAACAATGTCACCCTCAAAAAAAGCCATATAAGTGTCATGACTGTGGAAAATTTTTCCGCCAGATGGCATATCTTATTGAACATAAGAGGATCCATACCAAAGAAAAACCCTATAAATGTAGTGAGTGCAAAAAAACATTTAGTCAGAATTCAACCCTTATTCGACATCAGTTAATCCACAGTGGACAAAAACCCCATAAGTGTCTTGAATGTGGAAAAGCCTTTGGTCGGCATTCGACCCTTTTGAGCCATCAACAGATTCATACTAAACAGAACACTCACAAATGCAGTGAATGTGGACAGTCCTTTAGCCGAAGTGTAGATCTCATTCAGCATCAAAGAACCCATACCAAGGAGGAATTCTTCGAATGTAGAGAATGTGGAAAAACTTTTAGTTTTAAGGCAAATCTTCATCGTCATGAGGTCATTCATACCGGAGAAAGACCCTATAGATGTGACAAATGCGGAAAATCTTTCATCTGGCGCACAAGCTTTATTAAGCATCAGGGTACTCACAGACAACAGATACCCATGTGATACTAACTGGAAAAAGACCATTTTGGGGATCCATGGGTGGCTCGGTGGTTTAGTGCCTGCCTTCGGCCCAGGGTGTGACCCTGGAGTCCCGGGATCAAGTCCCATGTCAGGCTCCCTGCGTGGAGCCTGCTTCTCCCTCTGCCTGTGTCTCTGCTTCTCTCTCTCTCTCTCTCTCTCTCTCTCTCTGTCTCTCATGAAGAAATGAATAAAATCTTTAAAAAAAAAAAGACCATTTAAGGACCAGACCTTACCACTCTTGTAATTATGTGTAACTTCATTGTTTTATGAAAATTATTAAACAGGAATTGAAATGGTAAAAAAAAAAAAAAAAAAAAAAGAGTTGCATGCTCTTCTGAGCCAGCCATGCGTCCCTCTAGTTGTTTCTGTATTGAACTGAAGTAAATACTGGGTAAAAAAGGAAACACTCTTCACACTAGTTATCTCGGGTTCTTCTCTTTAAGGGAAGACCTCTCAAATGGACTTGTTTCCTTTTTGGCTTTTGGTTTTAATCCTCAGGGACTGCTTCTCTTTGTAAAGCACTATACTCTGTACCTATTCCTGCCCTGAGTCCTGAGAATTTTTGATTTTTTTTTTTTTTTACCAATATTTGAGTGGTTTCTTAGCTACACTATACTTAGAATTAAGTTCTTGGCAGGAACTATGTTATTCCATCTTTGAGGAAAACTTAATAGCAGAAAGAAACAATATAAATATAACAATGGTAATGCAGCTAACAATTGAGCTTAGCATACCTATAAGCATATTACATTTTCTTGTTTAATTCTTCCGACAATCCTATGAGAATATATACTGTTGTCCTCTTTATCTTCCATACAAGAAGATTGAAGCTTAGAGATGTTAAATTACTACTCCAAGATTATACAGCTAATAAATGTTGGAGGCAGGATTTAATGTGAGGTAGTCATACTCCAGAGCCACACTCCTAACCTTTACTCTTCACTGGCTTTCTGTTTTCTCACAGTACATTTGTTTCTCTGATGATAAAACCCTGAGATTTGGTGTAATAATCATCCTTCACTTAATCCTCTTATGTCCCTTCCAATAAGTTAAGATTAACTTCCCCACCTACTAATTAGGTTATTCATTTCTTCTTGCTTTCATTTAATAAAAATCTGAATACCTACTATTTACTAGGCACTAAGAGTATAAATAAAAATAAATCCTTCAAAGTACTTGCATTCTAGTTTAAGACAATTGAAATGTAAACTAGTAAGTGTACTAAAGAGTTATGAAATATTCTTATAAAAGCTCAAGGTATATGGGTAGAAAAAGGGCCTTCCCTAGTTATATCATGTTTTCTCACAACCCATGAAGAACAGTGGTGGAATAGATGATTTTTTCTTTATAAAAGTAAATGATATTTCTTTGGAGAAATAAACTTATGTTTTAGTAATTGGAAAATATTGGGTTCCTGAAATGTTTAAATAACATGTTTAATTTGTAATTTTAGTTTCACTTTGTTATGTACTTTTTGCATGATCATAGTATATAGTGTTAGGATTGAAAGCTTTCCTACCTCTGTTCCATCCCTTTGGGACAGATTCCATGTTGAAACTCATGAATTTTGTTTTGTTTTGTTTTGTATATTTTTCCACACTTGAGTATGGATCTATTATTAAAATATATCATTTGAAAAATAAAATATAAAATAAAATAAAATAAAATAAAATAAATCATTTGAGGGAGAGATACTTCTTTGTTTAAAATCCAGACCCATTCTGGATGGGTTATGATTTATGTTTGTAATTATTTTTTTCAGTAGCAAAACTTTGAATTCATCAACTACTTTATAAAATATTTGTTTCTTAGGAAGAAGTTTAGGTGTCTGTATTAAATGCTTTTGGAGATGGTTTTGTTTTTGCATTCTTTTTTTTTTAAGATTTTATTTATTTATTCATGAGAGACACAGAGAGAGAGAGAGGCAGAGACACACAGGCAGAGGGAGAAGTAGGCTCCATGCAGGGAGCCTGATGGGGGACTTGATCCAGGACTCCAGGATCACTCCCTTGGCCAAAGACAGGTGCCAAACCACTGAGCCACCCAGGAATCCCCCTGTTTTTTCACTCTTGATTGAAAAAAAAACTTCAATTAATGTGAAGCACATCTACTTTATTATATAGCTTCTCTTTTGGTTGTGAGAATATAGAATATAAATACAGTGAATTGAACATCTAAGTCTTTAAAGGAAGAGACCTAGTCTGTAAATGTGTTTTAATCTTAGTAAAAGTATATTTTGTGATTCATAATACTAGTAAACTAAGAAAATACGAAACGTGGTGTCTACATAAAAGGTAGCATTTGAACTATAGTGGTTTTCCCTCAAGTAAAAACATAGCTTTTAGAAACCTCATTATGGGATCCCTGGGTGGCGCAGTGGTTTGGCACCTGCCTTTGGCCCAGGGCGCGATCCTGGAGACCCGGGATCTAATCCCACGTCGGGCTCCCGGTGCATGGAGCCTGCTTCTCCCTCTGCCTGTGTCTCTGCCTCTCTCTCTCTCTCACTGTGTGCCTATCATAAATAAATAAAAATTAAAAAAAAAATAGAAACCTCATTATTTCAAATGTAAAGTTTGTGGGGGTGGGGTGGAAATGACTTAGAGTTAGCCAGGCTTGGCTGTATATTTTATTCAAGACCTTTGGATGCACTTATCCCATTCTGGGAATCATACTTATTAATACTTTCAATTTTGAACATATTATCTATTATTTTGGTTTATGACCAATTATTCATCATTAGAGTTTTTGTTTACTTAGTGCATATAATCCATTATTTCCAAAACATAGTTATCTATATGCTTGGAGAGAGTATTTTGCCATTTTTGATAGTTATGACATTTTAAGTTTTTGCTTATTTTTCTAAGCTTATATTGCTAGTTAGAGAAAGCAATCTTAATATTAGAATCTATAAAGAGTGGTATTCACTAAAAGTACTTTTTTTTTTTACTTTATTTTTCCAGATGTGCCTCTTCATTTTCACTTTGAAACATTGTTTAAAAAGACTGAAATAAAAGGAGATCTTGCTGAAAATAAATTTGTAGGAGACTGTGTCATATCTCCATCACCTGGTATGTCATTTACAAATCTTGTACTTTATATGCCTTTTATATCTTTCAGATACTGTTTTTGCTTTCTAAGGAAATAAAATTTAACAAAGGAACAAAATGTAAATCCTTAATTTTTAATATTCACTTTTTACAAATCACACATATACACACACAAATAGAAAATACACAGGAGTAATCTGTGATACTTATCACAAAAATGTGATATTCATTGAATGAAAATTATGAAATACTGATAAATATAAAAGGAAATCTAAATGCACTTGGAGAAACAGCATTCCTGGATGATAGGAAGGATATCAATTCTTCCTCTTGGTTTATATATTTAAGGAAATGTTACTCGAAGTTCTAATAGTATTTGGTTAACTTAACAAAATAATTGTAAAGCCCATTGGGAAGAATAAATGGGAAAATGTAACTGCTAGAAAAAAGTATTAAGAGAATCTATCCTAACCACATACGGAAACATGACAAAAATCTGTAATAGTTATTAGCACAGATTTCATGTACATTTAGTAAAGTAAATTGGTGAAGCAAACTCTATAGCTTATACTTTATTATATAAAAGAAGAATTAGAAATGAATGAGAACATGGAGAACTATTCAATGAAGAGCATTGTTAATCTTTTGGGGGAAATTTTGTTTACATACTTGTTTCATACCATGTATCAGAATAAAATCTAGTTGGTTCCAAGAATTTGAAGAATTAAAACACTAAAATTACAAAATAAAACTTGAATTATAATGAAATAGTTATGAGTACTATGGATGGGGGTGGGGACGTCTGTGTTTGGAATCAATCAGAAGAAGAAAAATATCAACATGTTTTGACCATATACAAAGCTAAACTCTTCTTAATATTAAAAAAGTTATACAAACTAAGAAAAATTATTCCCAGATGAAATAATCATCTACCTCAAAGACTCATGAATCAACTCAATGCCTGTAGAATTGAAGTTCTGAAAAGTAGCAGATTTTAAAATAATTTTTTTTAGGTTTTTTTTTTTAAGATTTTATGTATTCATGAGACATACACACACACACACACAGAGAGAGAGAGAGAGAGAGAGAGAGGCAGAGACACAGGCAGAGGGAAAAGCAGGCTCCACGCAGGGACCCCGATGTGGGACTCGATCCCGGGACCCCAGCATCACACCCTGGGCTAAAGGCAGGTGCTAAACCGCTGAGCCACCCAGAGATCCCCCGATTTTAAAATAATTTCTAAAAAACAGCAGCTTTTATAAATACCAGTGATAAACAGTTAGAATATGTAAAGGAATTATACTAGACACATTGACAATGAAAATACAAAATATCTAGGATTAATTAAACTTAGTAAGGACCTACATGAAGAAAACTTAAAAAGTATACTAAGGAACCCAAGAATATGTGTCTATAGAGAAAAATACCCTGTTCCTATCAGAAGACAGTATTGTCTGGAGCACCTGGGTGGCTCAGTCAGTTAAGTGTCCAGCTTTTTTTTTTTTTTTAGATTTTATTTATTTATTGATGAGAGACACAGAGGCAGAGACACAGGCAGAGGGAGAAGCAGGCTCCATGCAGGGAGCTGGATGTGGGACTTGATCCTGGGACTCCAGGACCACGCCCTGGGCCAAAGGCAGGTAGTAAACCGCTGAGCCATCCAGGGATCCCCAAGTGTCCAGCTCTTGATCTCAGCTTAGGTCTTGATCTCAGGGTCCTAATTTCAAGCCCCACATTGGGCTCCACATCTAGCATGGAGCCCACTTTAAAAAAAAAAAAGGGCAGTATTGGAATTTAAGATGTTATTTTTTCCCAGTTTACTTTATAATGTAACTAAGAATCATAGAGGTAATCTTCTTTTCTTTTAGAACAAAGTTATTCTGAAGTTTATGTGTGAGAGAGAAAATGTTGAATAGTTGTTAAACTTTTTAAAAGATCAGTAAGAAGGAGGTGTCAGATATCAAAATAATACAGCTATAATCATTAAAATATTGTGGTATTGATGAAAGCCAGATCAATGGAACTAAATAACCTAGAGACAGACCCAACTGTCCATTATTTGATAAAAAGATAGTTTTTCCTATCAGTATAGGAAGGATGGCCTCATC